TGTGATTAAGACAATACTCTGATTAAGAGTCTAACATGTAAACAGCTATTTTTGATCACTCTTATTAGACTAAAGTCATAATCGAAATAAACAGAAATCACTTTAAGACATGTGGAGGTTGCCTATTTTGATTGCATTATTGAAGTGCAGTACAGACATGTAAACAACTTAATCAAACTATTACCATAATGTAGGACTTTTTGCCGAACTGCAGATAAAGTTGGAAATTTAAAAACGAAACACTCAAAATTACATGAAATTCTGGAGTAAATGTGGATACTACACCTATAACATGTAAAACGGGATCATGAACAGAACATTCATAGAGCGACTCATGCGAACACCTTAATCATATTATTGTCTTATTCAGATTAAGGCAACTAACTCAATTAATGATGACCATGTAAACGTACTCAGTGAATAACTTCTAGGACAATTATGTTTTCAATGTAGGAAGGTTCATTCTTCATCCAAGACAGCTGGGACAAAAAAAAAAAAAAAAAATATATATATATATATATATATATATATATATATATATATATATATATATAGTGAGCAAATTTTGGCCAGGATGCTGGGGTTGACCCCTCCTCTTTTGACCCCTCCTCCAGGACATCATGGGATTTGTAACGACTACAGAGAGTCGGGACCTCGGTTTAACATTTCATCTAAAAGATGGTGCTCACTGAGCAGTATAGAGTCCACTGCTGGTCTCACTAACATCACTTGCAGCAAAAAACTGGCTTTCCCATGTGGTCTCCCATCCAGGTACTGACCAGGCACAGCCCTGCTTAGCTTCAGTGGGTGACAATGTGAGAGTTGTTGAAAGTTAGCTAAATTGCTTACTATACACTTTCTGATTGTATCCAAAGCTTAGTATCAGTATTTTACTATAAATTTACCTTTCTATTAATACTGATACAAGTCACTGAGCCCAGTGTTTATTCCGATACTAATTTAGAACAATTTAATTTGACCATTACATGTTAAAATATCTGATTTGGCTGTATGATCATATCATTTTTCTTTTTTTGGTTTATTTTGAGCAATAAACAATTGTGGTAGAGTTTCAGGCAACCACTTGATGTCAACTTTTAAAACCTTTGTCCGGAAGCAAAACCAGCAGAGAACCAATAGCCTACAATTGTTTTTGATAATGCAGCAGCAACTTCAGTTGGTGACACAGTGTGGCTTATTTGTATTGTCAGAATTACTTTAAACTACAAACAATGTGTGAAATACACTTTCTATGCTGAATGAAGGCGCTCAACATATTCAAACAAAAAAATAAATAAATAAATGATGTGAAAACACAGACAGCCTCAGAATGGGTGTGTGGGTGGAAATTAGCCACAGAAGAGTAAACTCTTAACACAAGAGAACTGAACGACGGGTAGAGTATACAGAGAGACACAGGGAGAGCACAAAGATTTCCAGTGAATGTCAGCTTTGACAGGGAAATAATGAAGAGACATGATGTTGATGCGGAAAGAGACAAAATGCAGCGGACTCGTTTGATGTTTTTAGGACTGATGAATCTCCTACGGGCTGAAGAGGAGACGTACAGTATATGCTCCCCTAGCCCGAGATTCTGCCTCTCCACTAATGAATCACATCATCCAGCCATAGAGGATTCGATAAGCCTATAAAAAGCTTTAGCCCAGGCATCACTGTCTGAAAGATTGCTTCAAGGTTGCTGGATGCTGTTACATCCAATTCAATTGTTTTAGCTCAGAAGTGACATAACATTAAATCAAGGACAGTAGAGAAAGCCACGGAGCTTCTCGTTTAGTCAATAGTGGCTTCTTGTTAGAAAAGACAGGTGGCAGAATACAAAACATCTAAAATTGTTCTCAAGATATTTAAGCTGCCCAGCATTGCGGCAGCTGAAAAATGAGACAATGAATAGCAATAAAAAGAATTGAGTCATGACTGGACAGTGATATCCCTGATTAAAAACAAAGTGGAGGAGTAAGCACAAATACATTGAACAAAAAATTACTATAGACTAATTTTTAAAGTCAAATGGTTTAAGCTTTTTATCAGACTAATAAAGAACATACAAAAGAACACAACCGTACTTAACTTAGTAGACTAACCCGTAGGTTACCCAGGCTAGGAGACTAGTTTGAATTAAATAAGATCAGTAAACCATATTGTTGGTTGGAGCTAGGATACCAGCTCATAAACCAATTTACTGTAACAGACTGAGAGATACATGTAGGCTAAATTATCTGAAACTAGTAAACCACACAGTTTAGGAGCACTAGTCAGCTGGTACTGTAATACTGGGAGACCAGCTGGTTGAGCAACTGAACCAGCTTCATCAAGGCTGGAAGACAAGCTAATGCTAGGAATTCAATTAAGATACTAATTAGCTGGTAGAGCTGCAACACAATCTGACTGATCAATTAAAGCTTAAAATTAACCAGAGCAGAAAGGCATTCATTTTTTAGAAGAACTAGTCAGCTGGTTTGGCTGGAGGTCTGGCTATCTGACCTACAAAATCAGTTTAACCAGAATATAAAAGTAACTAATTTACTAAAGCTGCGTCCCAAATGGCACACTACACTATGCACTCATGCACTATGTACTTGTGCACTTATCAACAGCATAGGTCCTAGACGACGTTTGACAGTTGCCAAATTAGCTAAATAAATTAACAAAGTACCAAATAATACCAAATAATAATAAGTATTACTGCATTCTCCATCGGAAGGCACTATAAATCACACTCATATGAGAATTTCGCTTTCACAATGCAAAATAAATAAAGTTATCCAACATGTGAGCCCCATAGCTCCGCCTCTTCCGCTACGTGAACAGCGGTCGCTGAGTGCGTGAAGTGTGCACCATTACACATTTCATTTTACCGGTCAAATAAGTGCATCATCCGGGTAATACAAGTGCACTTATTTTCTTTTAGAGTTTTCAGTGTAAACGCACTACTTGCACTATTTATACTACAAAATGGCATTGAATAGTGCATAAGTGTGCGGTTTGGGACGCACATTCAGACCAGCAAACAACATCAGATAAGAGCTGTAGTTAGCTGTAAGACTTGGACAAAAGTTGGCTGACCATATTTGCCAGACCGAAAGTTAAGCTAAATTAACTAAAAGCAACAAGCCATATAATTTAAGTGCACAGTCAACTGGCAATGTGGGTAAACTAGTTAATAAGCCAAGAACTGCAACCCATGTTATTTTAAAGCAAGTAAACCACATCACCATAAACTTGGTCCTGGAAGGCCAGTGTCCTACAGAGTTTTCCTCCAACACTAATCAAACACACCTGAACATGCTAATCAGGGTCATCAAGATGACTATAAAATCTAAAGGCAGGTGTGTTGGATTAGGGTTGAAGCTAAACTCTGCAGGACGCCGGCCCTCCAGTCTGCCCATCTCTGGTTTAAACACATTAGTGACCAAGTAAAGCTAGGCAATTGGTTTATTGGTATCTGTAACAGAGAGCAATAAATCTCATTATTTAAGAGAATTAAGCTGCAGTCACACTAGAGTTTGAGCACACAAAACTCTGTAGTACGGTGCTACGAAAAGGGGCAGAATTAAACAAGATGAGTAGACATTTAAAAAAGCAAGCGATTGGTCCATATTTTAAATTTCTGTCCAGAGAGGTCAAGTTTTGATCCTCGATTGGTCTCACGCAGTCAAGTGATGCGATTTCGCAGGTCAGAGTTCATCAAGATTGAACTTTTGACAAGATTGTCTCACAAGCTTGTGCTTCCGGTCTGACACAGTAACGAGTGAATGAATGGAAGTCTGTAGGGAGAAAAGTGCAGTGTGAACGCAGCATTAGTCAGCTGATTAACCAACTGAACCAGCTTCAACAAAGCTGGAAGACAAGGTAAACCTAAGACCAACAAATTAATTAATTTAAAAGTACTAGTTAGTTAAAGGAACTGCAACAAAAGCTGAGTAACCAACTAAAGCTTTACCAGGCTAGAGGACTAGCTAAATTCACCCAAACCAGAAAGACACATATTTTAGAAGAACTAGACCATATTAAACAGGCTGGAAGTTAAGATGATTAACTAAAAGCAACAAAACAAATAATATAAGAGCAAAGGTAATTGGTAATGCTGGCAACCTAGATAAATTAGCCAAGAACAGCAAACCACATCAATCTAAAGCACTGGTCAGCTAGTCAATGCAATTAAAGCTGGTAAGACTAAGAGATCAGCTGGCTGACAAGCTAAATCAGTTAACCCAGTCAGGAAGATAAGCAAATTTAACAAAGATCAGCAAACCTTAACATTTATGACCAGTTAACTGACCATCTGACTAATCACCTACCAAACTGAACAGTAGCTTAACAAGCCTGAGAAGACAGAGAAACCAGCTTAAACAAACTGCATACTGGAATCTGATGGGTTCAGAAGGGCAATGATCTTATTTATCTACATCAGACCACCTCAGGAGAAGTCCATAGATTAGAGTCCGCTAATGTTTTAAGCACATCTCCACCACAGCGGGCGGACAGCATAAGACAGCTCCCGCATTGGAAGTCCAGCAACGCTGCCTCGTAGCGCCGCCGTCTTCAAGCCACTAGCAGCGTGACACTCATCATCACTCACATGAGTCAGAGAATGCCATAAGCTAATGGAATAAATCAAGGATGAAATATCAATCAAATTACAAACTAATAGTTCCCTTAATGTCTTTGTTGGAGTACAGATGGCCCCTTCAGCCAGCCAAGCACACCACAGCAAGTCATCATGATAATCAGCGCACTAATAATACCACTCCATTAATCACACATACACGCTCCAAGTGCATCACTGCAAACAACGGGTGCTCTGCCGCAAGGAACAGCCCAAAGTTGAAGCATGGTAGACTGTTAATTAACTCTTCTCTAAAAGTCATGCCTATTGTTTTCAGAAACTACTCTGTAAATTAAGGTTCATGAGCACTCGATACGGCAGTTATCAGTTTCCTGGAAAAACAAAAGAATAAGAGCAACATTTGGGCACTTACATTTAGCAGGGAGGTCATAGCCGCAGGTAATCTTGGCTTTTCCTGTGTCACAGCCATTTAACGAGTGGCACTCTTCATACAGGAGATGACCCGCGGCTCTGTGTATGCAGCCATCCACTGAAACACACAAACAGCACAGATGTGAAAACAGAAATGTTTGTTAAAAATTTTCAAGAATTTTTTTACTGAAATGCAAAACTTTAATTTATTCCCAAAATATATTGTTTTGTGGTGTTGATTTGGCTTTTTTTTAACTGATATTGATGTCTGATTTTCTTCTTTTTGTGCAAATACATGTTTGGAGAGACATTAAGAAACTGGAAATTTTGGCTACATTGACATGACAATGATGTAGCTAAAAACTCAAATGTTTTTCTTTTACATTTGAAAAAACTTCACGTCTACACAACCTTTTTAAAAAAAATAGGAGTTTACCAGGAAAGTTACTTTTGAAAGTAATGCATAACAATGCTGAGTGCATTGTTGTGCAATGCTCAAAAAAATTATGTATGATGATGTTATCTTCTGAGAACTCCCTGAGCCAGAGATATACATGTCGTATATACAGATTAAAGAACGTTTAGAGCAATGTATTTGCTACTTTTGTACGATTCGTCTCATAGGTGAATTAAAACCCTTCTATTGATACGATCCATTTCACATTCAGAATAATGAGAATACCATCACAAATGTAAGGCTCTGCCTCTTGGTTTCTGTCTGTTCCTGCGGGAAGGTCATTCTTTCATTGAGTGCGATTCAACATGATGATGCTATTTTTAATTCATCAATTTTACATTTTTTAAAGCTAATTAATTAATTACAAAAAGTAACTCGTATTACATTTTTGAAAAAAGTTGCTCAAATATTATTACCTATTTTTCTTAAAGTAATGCTTTACTTTACTCGTTATGTAGAAAAATAATATTATTGCGTAACTTACATTACTTGTAACGCATTACTCCAACACAGGTGTTTACACATATCCACAAAACAAGCAAAAATGCTGTATGACATATGCCAGGCCAGTATTTTGCAATGTCACCTTATATCAGTACCTGTAGGGATAAGACTTTGTGCCAACTGAAGCTTGAAGCTTGTGTCTATTTACAATTTGCAATGTGTTTAAGATGCGTCTCCACTTTTGGTTGTAGTGTGAACTTCACCACTGTTGTTGTTTTTGGTTGCTTGTGCTTGCCTTTAATCTACATTCCCCTAAACACATACTATGTGCTAGCATGACTTTGACTAAGATTTTTTGTTTTTTGCTTATGTTTTATTGTGTTTATACAGACACAGCTTCCAAAAACACCCACTTCAAAATTCTGCATTTTTGCTCAAAAACATTGTCGACCATAAAATTATGGAGTGAGGTTTGCGTATTAAAATAGTAACAGAATTCATACAAACATCAACAAAATAAAACACAAATGGCTCTGAAAATATGTGATCAACCCAAATGGCAAAAAGTGGTGTTCACCTTGAAATAAAACAACCCACTGAACCCCTTCAAATCCCTGATCAGTCAGATTTGGAAAAAAAATCCTTTATCGGTGTGTTGTTTTGCTCTCCCTGGGTTGTCCCCACCTCCCAATGTTTTAATTTCACATGGTTAAGCCCAGGATGCCTTTGACTGATGGTATAGTTTACATGAGTAGGCAGAGAAATAGAAATCCAAATAGTCTTCCTTCTTCTAAAAGCCCATGACACACCTTCAGCAGCCCATTATCAATCACAAAGAAACATCATAAAGGTACAGTCATAAGAAAAATAAATGAATCCACAAAAGCTACTCAAAAGCAGAAATAAGGAAAAGGCAGAGCGAAAAAAGGTATACCGACCTCATTTACAATATGTACACATTCAAAAGGGGTAAAAAAAAAAAAATGGTTTTATAATCTTTCATCAAAATGTAATTACTTTTGAAATATCTCAAATGTCTGTTCTGCTGACGTATCAATGAAAGACTGACATTTGAGAAACATTTTAACCAATTATATGACAGTCCACCTTTCTCAACCCAAACAATAAAGCCAGTCGTTATTATATTTGTGTATGGATCTTCAATACTCGTATTTCAGGAAAATAATTATTTCCTGCACTAAATGCATCGTTTGAACATCAATGATATTTCAAATCCAAGGAGAGATGTGCTATTATTATCTTTCTAAGCTATTAGACTTTTACATTTAAGACTTTATGGAAGACAACCACAACAACATAGCAAACCATAGCATATTAAAGAGTATTGTGTCTATAAAATAATAATGTAGTTGCATAATTAATTTTTCACACTAAAACGTCACATTACATTCAAGTTTATTCGAAGCAAATCAAGACTAATCACTCCTGCATGAAAAAAAAACAGCTTCACAACCTGTGATTGATTCAATACCCCAGCCAACAGGTCATGATACATGTGACCTAAATGTATGGTTTAGCTGCTGCCACTGATCTGGTTTGCACAGAGATGAACAGCATGTCATAAAGGAGATCAGTCTCGGTACGCTAATGACACAAGCAGATGAGAGGCAATAAAGATGACAGACAGCGTGCTGTTACAGAGTAGAGGCTGAGCTCCAGCTAAATTTCATGATCGACCTGAACCACTCGCTCATTCACTGTGCGATGACATGAGCGCGAACAGCATTGGCAAAGAAAATAACAAATACAATCAGAAAATCTACCTAAGTTGACAAAAAAAACCTACATAACGCTTTTTTTGTCATGATTTTTTGAAGAAAACACCAGCTGGAGGGAAGATTTTTCCACTGTGATCAATCATCTTTAATGGTCTGAGCGACAGCAAGTCGACAGATACAGATTCCGATGGCTTTTGAGAAAGCACTCAGTTCGAAAGGATGAAGACAGTGACAGAGCTTGCGATGAGAGAATCGGTTCCTCAGACAGTCTGACAATTACCACATCAAATGCCGTCAGAACGCAACGGACATGTTGACAGAGCTGCGTAGGCGTTCTTCTTTACGTCCTGCCGTTGTGTGAAGATTGCATGTTTTTTTTAATACATATGCAGTTCCTAAAAAAATCAGCATTGATCATGTGGAAAGTTTACTACAGATCCACAAATAGCTAGACGTCAATATTTAGGAACGTTAGAGACTGGATAATTCAGTTTATTCTGTTATGTCAATGGCAAAACATTAATGACCACTGCAATTTTTCATTTTTTGATTCCCGAATGAATTGTTCTAAATCAGGGGTGGGCAATTCATTCTAAGGGGCCAGATTAGACAGATTAGACAGTTGAGAAGCAAGTATACACAAGAAGTATTTTAAAGACCAGCATCACAATATCAACTTCATACAAATGCCATGGTGCTGTTTGTTTGATTGCTTTACTTAATTTGTTAATATCAATTAAATAATTATTTCTTGTATTTATATTTTTTATGTTCAGTGAGAGAATTCTATCATCGCTGAGAGACTATCTGTATCTGGATATGTTCAATCGTTAATCTAAGGTAATTACCCTATCTTTATTACTGTTTAATTACATACAAAGAGTGAAGCTGCCTGGTTGGTTCCTGTCACATGACTGTTGGTTTGCTCGTGGCACTCAGAAATGTTTTGATTTTTTCAACCCTTGGTGTCTGGAAAACATGAGCGTAACATACCGCATGTGCATTTCTTCCTATTTGTGCACTGAACAGGCGTCTCTATTTGAAATGACACAAAAGACAATATATGTGAAAGTCCCCTTTTGTTTTCTAACAATATCAGACCTGCGCATTGCAAGGCTCTGTTTGCGGTTGAAAAAAAAAATGAAAACAACGTCATAGGTGCTGATCAAAGTCATCCAGTGGGCTGCATGTGGGCCATAAAATGCCCAAGTGTAATGTTAAGGGATGCTGACAATGGAGTGCGGATCCAAATGCAGGTTTATTAGGTGAATGGACAGACAAGCAACGGTCAACACAGGGGCAAACGGATGTATACAGGAAATCCAGAGACGTGGTGAACAAGCAGGTGGATGATCAAAGGCAATAAAACAAAGCAAGGGTCGAACATGGTAAGGTAAGGCAAGGAAAATGCGCTGTAATGCTTACAGTACAGTTAAACAAGACTCAGCACTGATGCGTGTGTGTGCTGTTTACATAGGCCTTGTAATTAGTCTTTGAGCAGCTTCCAGCTGTGCGAGTGTGTCATAACACCAGCTACTAAATGGTAAATTAATTGATTCAGTGAATAATTCAATTACTCATTACAGAAAAACCAAATGAGATTCACATGTGCGTTAAAATCACTTATAAAACACACATGAAGCAGCTTGACAACTATCTGGGACTAAAAAGCATGAGACTTTGGCGATCATTTCAAGTTGACATTTTGGCCAGAGGAGAAAAGGTTGTACCCAACTTAGCCTGGTTTCCCTCTATTTTTTTTTTTTTTTTCCTTCACTTCCGTCAATTGGTAAAGTTTGTTTCTTGCCACTGTTACCACTGGCTTGCTTGGTTTGGGACTTGTGGAGCTGCGCACCTAAGGATTTTCTCTTCAGTGTTTTGACTTTTAGCAGTGAAAATAAACCACACTGAACTGAATCGAACTGATCTTCAACTCTGAAAATTGGACTGACAGTTTTAATTTACTAGAACTTCTATGTTAAGCTGCTTTGACACAATCTACATTGTAAACGCGCTATAGAAATAAACATGAATTGAATTTTAAATGTCCTATATTCATAACTATCAACTGAATTAACACATATGATAAGTTGTAAAGGGGCTGGGCTTAAAATGGGACATCCTACTATCTCATAGACCTAAAAAGCATGCACACATTGTAAGTTTCCATTAAAACTCATGAAGTCGCCCATTTGGGACAGCGCCTATAACATGGCAAGTATTGTTTATAAATGAATCCATGTTTTAAACAAACTATTTCACTGAATGATTCAGTGAATCAAAAAAAGATTCATGTGATGCTAATTTTTGGTGCAGCAATGTAACCTGGAGAAAGAATCATTGATAATCCCTCATTTACACAATGGCAGTAATGTTAAACTCTCTGCAAATCAAATTGAAGGGCCAGAACTAACTATTGTATAATTCTGAAGACAGAATGACTCCAAAATATTACCTACAGTATATAACAAACCCCTG